TCACTTATAATCTTATATAAGTTTATTTTGTAAACTGTATTTATTGACCGGGATAGATATTTATATTAATTCAATACAAACAGTGAGCATAAGACAGCTAGAACAATTTCAGATGATTGACTTTTTGTCATTGGCGTTCATTTGCCAAACAGGAAGAAGAAAAATGTAAGGAGGTTTTGAAAAGTATTGCTTCATCTCTTTGTCCCTGCAGGCTTTTTGCACACTCGTAAAGGCATGCGTTTAGTGAAGGTGATGCTAGGCTTCTTTTAAAAAGGCAATATAGAATCAGAAAATGAACATAACTGCTTATGACCTAATTCTGTCGGCATGGCTATTGTGAAAATAATTTTGTATCCTTGGGCTTGTAGACTTTTCAGGTATTTCTCAGGAGTGGTGATTCCTAAGCCTCCCAGTAAGATTGACGTTAGATGACAACGTCCACCTTTTCAACGTTACATACAAATAAAGGAAAAAGGTTCATTAGTAGTTGTATATCAGAGACAAAAACCTAAACGTAGGAAGCTGGATTTCTTTTATGTACAGGTCAACACTTGTAAGCATTAGGTTATATAAGCAGCCTTTATTCACTGACAGAGTCTTTCTGGCCAACACTCCTCGCATATTTTCTTCTTGAGCCTACATTTTCACTGATTTAAAAGATATTTGAAGTCTTTCATTTCACAGTGCTGAGGTACATGTCCTGGTAGCTGCATAATTCAGATAAATATTTTTGTAACTTGCAGTATGCTGGCGTTGCCTGTTTTGCTCTTTGAAGAGAAGTATTGCATGGTTCGCATACTCTCTAGGCATCCGCTGCTGACTGCTATGAGAGTTAAGCAAGCATGTCTGTTCTGTGCCTGGGTTACCCGGTCGCAGGAACCTTTACTGACTGCATGCAGGTTTTTCACCTCTGCTCAGGAGTGGACTTTTTCTAGAGTATATCGAATATTATTTCTGTTGTTGTCCGAAAATATGAGACTTAGAGGATTGTTTGAAAATGTTTTTAGCAGTTGTTTCTTGTGATTCTGCCTGTAGTCGCGTGCGCATGAATGGGGGCTGAATTGCAGACTTTGCGGTTCTCGGTGTTGGCACGCAACGTGCTGCTTGGAACTGCCTGAGAAGTGTTTTGCCCCTTCCCTCCAAAAGTGCAGAGGTGAAATGGTCTGTGTAGCACCTGTGCATGCAGGTGTGGACGGTTCTGGGCCACGCCGGTAAGAGGTAGCGTGGAAAAATTCTGGAGTTGCTTTCAGCAGGTTTTGCGTAGCAGATGTGGTTGCTTTCCCCTGCTTTTAGCACTGTGTTAGCTAGAGCTGTTAAACGTTACTAACTTACCAGCATCTGGCCCCGCTGCTTATATTGCAAAACTATGATCATGCAAAGCTTAGTCAGTGAGAACACTTTGTACTTAGGTCTTTAAAAATGCACTGTGTACGTGTTATCTTGTGTCCCGTCAAGTAAACCACTTTCTACTCTGACTGAAAATTCCTTTGTTTTAGGTGTCGGGGCCCTGTTTGCTCAGAATAGCTAGTTTTTTAGTAAGTACCTCAGGTTATGTTTTAAAACAGTCTAAAATAGACAAAGCATCTGTTTTTAGAAGACAGGATGACAGAGTAAAATATATAGTTAGAGAAATGCCACTGAGACGAAGGAGCAAAACTAGCAAACTAATGCATAACAGAGCGTCTTCCTCTGTGCAGCTTGATTCCTAACGGCTCCAGTATGTTCCTGCTCCATCCCTCCCTGGCAGTAAGGTCTCCTTCTGCATCCAGGATGTGTTGCTTCTTACTTCGCTTTAAATAATGAAGAGAGATGTAGCCCCAGGCTCCAGGAACTGTTACAGATATTTGAACAATGATCCCTGCAGAAAGAAATACCCATTTAAAAATGTAGCAGAGCATGGCTGTAACAAGCAGATCAAAGAATCTATCAACACAAATTAAAAACAAAAATGCAAAGTGGGTCAGATGCATGATACAGTTTTGAGATAAGCTGTTGATAAGCTACCCCTGCAAATACATGCCTTTGAAACAGTTACATTAGGATGGTTGATTTAGAAAGGAGTATTTGGTTATTCAGCAGTTTGGTTTTGAGCTGTGTTGTCACTACTGTTCTTCCATCAGGGCATTTCTTGAAGTGTGTCTAGCGTTATTGTAGTCCTTCTGGGCAGAAGCTATTTAACACCTTCCATAAAACGCAGAGGCAACTGATAAACTGGAGAATCTTTTTACCTAGTTTTATTACGAACAAGGACGAGTACTAAGAATTGTCCTTTCTAAGGTGGGCTGAGACGAAAGGTGCAGCTAGAAGATATCCTTTGACCCAGGAGCCAGTGTTTTCCATTTTCTTAGTTTTTCAGAATGACTTGAATAGGCATTCAGCTTATATACGTTCCTATGTGGTCTTGTCTCAAATGCTCACAAAGGTTTGCGCTCCTTTGGCCTCGGTTTACCTACAGATGACGGGCAGTGATAATCTTCATGGCAGATACTGACAAATGAGCAGAACAGACAAAAACCGTATGCCAGATGGATACGGAGGATGACATAGCAGAGTTAATGGTTGTGTAAAAAAAAAAGCAAATATCCCAGCTCTACCTTTGCCTTGCAGGTGAAAACCTTTCTCTTAAGGCTGGAGGATGGTCATCTTCAGCCTGTCCATCTACTCTAATGCTATTGAATAGTTGTTTCTGATTTCACCCCTTCTGTACTTATAGAAAACGGCCTTCAGCTCTAGGCTTACGTTCGGATTCTGAAGCTTAGCTCTTGCAATTTGAATGAGACCTGCCCAGGGTGTTTGAGAGGTCAGTGGTCTTGGAGACTGCAGTGGAAACTTTTTGGAGAGCATAGGGGAGAGCTGGAACTGTGTCAGATTGTGCTGGGAAAAGCTGCTCCATGTGGGATGTCTTCAAGGAGCAATTACAAAAATAACACTTGCTGTCAGCCGATAGAGCAGAGCAGTGAGTGGATAATAAATACAAAAATCTGCTTTTTGTTCCAGCATCTCAAGATGCAAAGCTGTTCTATTAGTACTTTGCATGGAGAAGAGTAATTTAAAACAGCTATTCTTCCAAACAGCTCAGAGGCCCTGGTAATACCATAGCTACGTTTTAATTTCTAATGTTGATAAGTCAGAGGTCTCTTTAAACAAAAAAAAAAGTTATGCATTTTTACAAGCATAGAAAAAATTCTGGGCCATCACAAGGGTATGCACACATGTAAATCTTTCTCACCATCTTTCATGGCTGCACGATAGGAAAGATGGTGTGATTCTTGTACAGAACATGTGTTTTAAGGCTATCTGTTGAAATTCCAATGAATTTGAAGGCATTGTTCCAGGACTGATTTAGAACTAAAAAGAGATGAGACATTACAGCGTTCCATACTTCTCCGAGTAATGTTGTTTTCACATGTTGTTTGAAATGAACTGTTGTTTTCTTAATTGGCAAGTGACCTGTGAATCTGTTCCATGCGGGCTGTTACACCTTGCAGAAATTTAAGCTCAGTTGCAGTCTATTCAGCATCATATTCTCGTCTCCCAAACCACTGAGTAGGTCTCTCTGACTAATGTTTAGAATCCTGAGGTCAGATTTGGCAAGCAAAAGCAGTAACCTGCCACTATGAAAAACTATTCCCAGCATGTTCTTCATTAAACTTTTGCTCCATGTTCAGCTATCACTGATGGCTTATGGCTTGCTGCTGAAGAATTAAAAAAAAAAATTTGCAATGAAAATTGATTGTCAATAGTTCTATCTTAAAACCCCTTGCAGTATCAGGATGTGCAGTTTGTTTTGTTTTACATGCTTATCTGTATAGTGCATGAATAGAAAATACCAGCTGTTTGCTTGCTTGCTTGCTGAAAACTGTGTAACCTGAACTGACAACAGGAAGGGATAGAAAGATCTTGTTTTCAAACCTCAGTTGAATGAAAGCATAATTGATGTTTCCCCTGTCTTTCAGGGGATATTTTCATATAGCTTAGTTCCAAAGTGCTCTCTGTTTTATGAGCTGGAGAGTCTAGTTTCAGCTTGAAAAATATCACATTGCATTCATTTACAATGCCTTTAATTCAGATATATCTTAAAGACTCTTAACAGTATATTGCACAAACCACTGTAACTTCAGCAATGCTTATCCATAAATATAATCTGCCCATCAAGAGACTTATGCGCACCGACCCTGCAAAGGATAAAACCAGCAAATAAAAAAATGTATTATTCAATTTAAGCTGCTCTGGGAATTTAAGCAGGCAGCATATTGTGAAGAATTAATTGTGAATGAAGCCTGATCCGCCACCTACCTCTGTTGCTGGCGAGAGAGGTTTCTCCAGCTAGCAGGTCTAAGCACGACCCTGATATAGGTAGTAGGAACTGCTCTCTGAAAGGGAACCTGGGTTGCCTCCCCCTTAACTGTACTGCAAACCTAGTAAGAATAAATGCTTATGCCTGCAATTAATCTATGTGAATACCTCCTATTAATCATGTAATAAATTTGGCTGCTGTATCTGCTTGCATCTGTTGCTCTAGGCCATTAGCAAGAGATCAGGATTTCGTTTGTTCACTTTATAATTGCAAAAATGACACGGAGGAGATTGTGCCTAGAAATATTTCTCTGTTGTTACCACTAAAGAGCAAAATTACAAAAAGACAGTTTCAGAATGATTATTTATAAGGGTGCTTGAGAAACAGCACAGTATTTTTGAGAAGGTGTAGCCTTTACACAATTTTTAGTCTGCTTTATCGGAATTAAATGCTTATGTTACCATATCAGGGGCAAGCAGAGCATTTGTGGCGTTCAGTGGCCTTAATATTTCAAAGTGTAGAAATATATATCCAAAATCAACTCTTAGTTACTTTTCAAAAAGTAATAATTCGATAGCAGAAGCAAGATCGTAGCATTACAAAGCCCTGTGTTAGTCCCAGTTTCTCCATGTTCTCTTCCTTGCAGCTGGTGAGAGAAGACATAGCTTGTGCTAACACCACTGTTTTGTGCCAACAGGCATAGGATGGCAGGGCAGGAAAGAAATCCCGCTGGAGAAAAATCCCTCCAGGAAGCCTCTGGCCAGCTGTGCCTGCTCTTGCACAAGGGATTCTGCTCACTCTTTTGCACCACAGCAGCTGTAGTCACCTCTGCCCTTCCCAAGTCACAGGAGATGTAAGTGCTCCCACCCTTGTCACGCTGGCCTAAGGGTGCAGGCAGGGCGAGTCGTGGATCCGCAGGTATCCTGTGCTTGTGCCGGCTGCGTTGCCAGCAGCAGTCCCGTACTCAGCGCTAGCCTCTGTTTAAAGGACTGCAGTCCCAGATAAGAGCAATTGTGCATCACAGTTCGGTTTTGAAGCGGCCGTGGCCTAGGTTTCAGAGGCAGACCTTGCTGCTGGCAATGATTGTAGCTGAATGTAAAAAAAGAAGAAAACACTGCCTTCTGGGCAACGATGCTACCTCATTAGATGAATTTGCGCAGACTCAAGCAGTGATTGATGGACCACCTTCTCCAGACACAGGGACTGGGACTTAATTTTATCCTTACTTTACTACTTCTACCCCATAAACACCAGTGCTGTGTACGGAGATTGAATTTCAGTTACTGATACTTGCCTGTGGCCCGTTAGCATGCAGACCCTGGGTAAGTTAATCCGCCTTTTTTAGCCAAGCGAGACCGAGAACGTGCGTTAGTGGTGATGCATGTAGCTGAAAGGCCATGAGTAAGAATTATCCACGTCATGTACCTATTGTAAGAGAAAATTGCTATCTTGGAGAGTAGGCAGAGGAAGGGTCATTCTGAGCGTTTTGTAAATTAGGTAGCTGAGACACTTATCCAGTTGTGCTGTAACGACCTGGGACGTGTGTTTGTGCAAACCTTGCCACAACTACAGTGACTGGCTTCCCTGATTTGCTGGATATGTAGTTCCCCTCACCCTCTGCCCATGGCAGACAACTTCCAAACTGAGAGCAAAGGAGCGTGGCTGCTGTGGCTTTCTGTGAGCTGTCTGCGTCTGCAGCTGCTTTGCCCCAGGGCTCTTGTCAGAGGGGCGCTGGATGTTGCACCTGCAATTCGCAGAAAGCCTCAGGCCTGTCAGTTTTTGTGTATCTGCTGCTCCAGAGCTGGGCTGCGACCTCTGTCCTCAGCTCCTTTGGTACCTGGCGTGCTTTAGTGATGCCGTGCTGTGTGCTCCTGGCTGAGCTGCGCTGGCTGATGCTGGGTGGAGCTGGTGTGCTTCGTGCCGCTGGGGAAGGCAGAGCTAGGGACAGCTGGCAGGTCGGGCAGTCGGTGGGGGGAGACCATGCAGGAATTGGAGATGTGTGCACCTGAATGAGGAAATTAAGGGCTCGTCTAGAGGCAAAGGGGAGGGCAGGGGAAGGGAGCATGTACCTGCTTGGGAATTCAGGAGCCACAATGTTGATGCACAGCTGTCCCAAAACTGTGCCAATGCCCCCGGACCTGCTGTCTCCCCTAGTGCTGCCCCTGCCTTACGCCATGGGCAGGCCGTCCACCAGGCACTCCTCCCTCAGCGGAGAGATGCTCCAGCCTTGGGGCGCTGAGACCCAGCTTCGCACCCTGCCAAGAGGTCCCAGCAGTCCGGCTGTGGGATTATCCACCGGCTCAGCGGGGCTCCGGGCTGGGCAGCATCGCTTCCTGCAGCGCTGGGGAGCCCAGGGCAGGGATGAGAAGGGAGAGGGGCGCCCGGTGTCGTGTGTGTGGCCCAGGTCCTCCTGCCATGCTTTGCTCCTTCCCGTGCCTCGCCGGTCGGAGCGGAGCGCGGGTCGTCGCTGTCGGAGGCTGGGAGGTTGCCCCCAGCACAATTCCTCTCCATCTGCTGCTTCCTCCTCGCGACTCTCCCGTTTTGAATCACACTTCTGCTCCGTCCCTCTCAAGTGCGTGCCAAGTGCCTGGGGTTCCCACCGGAAAACAGAAGAAGTAGTAGGGCTATCTACAAAAAGAAAATAAAAAATCAGAGTGACATCAGAGAAAAGATATGTAGAGGAGAGGGAATGGCAAATTCCACTGCTTAAGTGAGCCTCTGTAAGAGTACAGCTTCAGTCTCCCTTTTCATCGAGCAGTAAGAGAAAAGAAAGCTGCCTGATACATCTTGTGATCAAGGAATTAAGCCATGCATCTCGGAAACTAGCAGGAAGAGGCGAAAGCCAGCGCTCATTCAGTCAAAGCAGCAGCTAACATCCAAAGAAGAAAACATTCACTTGAAGATAATTTTCCCTGATTATTAAAAATTACTGTTCCAGGGCTTCCAGTTCTCAGTAACTGTTGCATGTTACGTTCTGCCGCAGCAAATGTAATAAATTAGAACAAATTGGTCATTCATTTGTGTTCTTTGTTTATATACAGCAAATGTGAATAATCTCCTTCACGCAGCTGTAGATTGGGAGTACTGACACTTGTACCGCTGGCAGGGTTTTCCGGAGAGCAGAACTCGCCCATGAAGAAACAGCACAGCTCTGGTGTCATTCAGCACACAGGCACTAAAACCTCAGCAGTTAGCAGGCATTGCTAATCTATGGGTATTTTTAGAAAAACAGTTTGAGGCTCCCATCTTCATCTGAGGGCAACGCAGTTCCGTTCTGACCTGCGAGCATGACTGAAGTTTGTTTGTGAGCATCTCACAGCTCCAGGCGTGGGAGAGTTAGCATCTGGGTTTCAAACCTGCTGATAGATTTGGATTATTTGGCTGTTGTCTCCATGTGTGAAACTGGAATAGTTTCCTTTGCAGAGGAGGTGGTTGAGGTCTAATTAAGGATATATAGAAACAGGGTGGGGGAAACTAAGCTTCTCTGCTGAGACCATGTTAATTTTTCACGAGGAAAAGTGTTTTGCTGAAGTAGTGTATTGGGGTATTTCTGGTATAACATTTATATTCTAATTACAGTAATTGTCTGAACTCTTGTTGTAAGGGCTAATAGTGAGTAAGATTTTCAAGGGCTCCCACAGCTTTTACAATGGAAGCATTTTATGGGACTGCGTGCTTACAGTGGTCATTTCACCTGCCACTAAAATTCAACCACCTGTGGTACAAAAACACATAAACTGTTTTAGAATAGCAATGTCACACAGTAATGCTTCTGAAAAGGGTAATAAACAACTGCTTGTCTCTGATACAAGGGCAATGTGATCAGACAGCAATGTCCTGATTTAAAACAATTGCAGTTAACAGGGAACTTCAAATACAACAAGCCTTCTGCAATTTTGAAGACTCTTTTTCTTTACTTGTTTACTTAGCGCTGCTTACGTTCCCTTACGTTTGCATTTGGTGAAATGCATTTTACCAAAAATATCTCTCTCTTCTCTTAGATTACAGAAGTTTGTGGAGCCAAGCGTGTGGGTTATTTTGGTCCTGCTCAATTTTATATTGCTTTGAAGTTAATTGCGGCAGCACAGTCAGGGTTTCCAGTACGGATTGAGAGCATTAAGAATGGTAAGTAGCAAATTTTGCTTGCAAAGCTGTGCACTTGCTTCTTCCTTTCTTTAATGCTTCCAAGCCATCTATTGTGGTCAACTTTTCTTCTAACTTGTCTGTGAAGCTGAACTGTATTTTGGGGAATGGAGAAGAGCCAGTAGGTAATGTTACATTCTCTAAGTGACTGATATCTAAGTGATTGAAAATTACAGTGAATTACATGTATGGGAAAGTGACATTACACCCCCCCTCTATAAAAAGCATTACCAAAGAAATGGGGTGAAAGACAGCTGCTCAATGTTATGGATCCATTTCTTTGTCACCTTCAGCCTCTAATCTTAAAAGCTGTCCAAAGCTGGGGCTGATGGCTCTTTCTGGATGGAAGCGATGTTGCTGGGGTCATGGGGAGCTCAGGGGTCTCTCTCTGCCAGGTAGCTTGCAACACTGACCTGTTTTAGCAGATAATTCTATTGAAATAAATGGATTATGGTGGCAAATTCGTAATGCTTTGTATTGGTATATACGAAAACACGTCAGATGTAATTTAAAACATCTTTTTTTCTTCACAAAGAATTGACAGTAATATTAAACGTGCCATCTTGATGGAGAAAAATATTTCATAAAATAGGTTATCAGTCTCTAGTAGTGAAGTGAGAAAGCAGGTGCCTTTAAGCTGTGAAACCTTGGTAGTGAGTAAATGGCAGGAGCTAGATAACTCTTGCCGTGGTGATCCATGCTCTGCCTCAGCAGTGCTCGGATTTCAAAACAGATGGTTTTCCAGTTGTGATTCAACCTGGACAGGTTGGGACCCTTAGCTCCCATATCACAGGCAAATACTTGAAGCATCACGTGAGGATATGCTGTGGGCTACCCTGTTTGCCAGTATCGCAAAGGACCATGAGATCAGAGAGAAGGCAGGAAAGGGAGGACCTCGCTGTGGCCCTTGTGATCAGGGCAGTGTTTGGTGGGTCGCTGCCCACAGCACGGTTTCTGCTCTGCTGTCCCTGCTAAGGGTGGTCAAATGTAAAATTCATGTACGTTTTAAGGAGCAGGGAGTGGATACCCAGGTCTGCCCCTTCCCAACTGAAAGTTGGGCTTTTATGCAGGTGGCACATGCAGACCTGCGTTAGTTAAGCTCCTTGTCCAAGCTCCGGCACTTTCGGAGCTCCCTGTGAAGTGGAAGTGCTCTGATGTGGATACCAGAGGATGGTGAGTAGCCAGCAGGGGAGTTTAAACCATGGGGAAAAACAGGAAGCCTGGATTTGTCTGTCGTAGTTTTCCTTACAAACAACTTGTTTTCTCTCTCTTGTGCGTTGGGTTTCTTCTTAGAGGTGCCATTGTTAATTTGAGAAGAAACAAACTACTCTAGAAATCTGAATTAAGTGAGTGAATTTACTGTGTATGTTTTTCAAGTGCAGCATCTCCAAATAACGCATGAATTTGAGTGAACAAGGGTACTTCGAGTTCTTGTGTTGATATCCTCCTTACTGAATGTTACTGAAGTGCTTCCAGTGCTAATTACGTTTTCTCTTGAAATATATTAGTGCTTTTAGAGTGGGATGAGTGACACGCAGCAGACTCAAATTGATTTCTTTTTCTTTCCATTAGTAGTTGTAGGTGTAGATGGTTAGAGGGGTGATGTAGGGCTTTGCTTGATTTTGGAGCCTGTGTTGTATTAATTTGTTGCATTGGTCTTATAGGGTGACTGTGCACAAAAATAAGGGTTTCTAATAATATGATATTTTCTCAAAATAATCCTGAATTGTCTTTAAGATGCATTTGCTTAGAAGCGTCACTCTTTTTTGCTCTGCAGAGCAGAGGCAAAATGTATTCTTTTGGCACCATAGACTCATCAGGCCTCAAAATGGTCTCTGAACCCTAGCATTTTTAATTTTTTCCTTTTATGATGGCTGTGCTGCGAATACGGTGAGCCTGACCTAGTGAATTCATTAGTCCCACAGTTTCTGTGGGAAACTATTCTTTTCATTTTAGACAACGTTTCCAAGACAGGAAATGAGTTTGTCTCTTGCTTTAATAATGCAGACAAGGCTTATTTCTTTCTCTTTGCCTTCAGAAAAGATGTATAAAACTAGCGAATACAGCTTTGCATAGCATGCACATTTTTTTCCTCTTAGGACATAAAATAATCACAGGAGTTCCACAGTTACACGTATTACAAAATATAACTAACTACTCTTCACTCTTCCATTGGTTTTGTGATACGATACTGCTTCAAAGACTCTTAATATACCATAGACTCAACTGAATTTTTCTCTCTTTTAATGAAGAATTGCCTCTGCCGCGGTTTATGGCGCTGAAAAATGACAGTGAAATACGTTATGGGAATCCAGCAGAGCTCCATGGAGTTAAGTTTCAGGTTCCACATGCAACTTTGGAAAAAAATTCCTACAAAAGAACAGATGAAGGGGACAAACAGGTAACCGGCCTGTCTCCTTCAGGCCAATATATCATTATGTATACTCCCTTTGGGTCCAGTCCTGTAAATGATTACACTCACATGGGCTTGTTCAGTTTTACAGTGCTATACTCAAGATGAACCCCCTACTTGCAAATAATATCCGTTACGGCAGTGCCTTTTATCCCTGAAGGGAACTTCTTTATATGAACTTGTATAAAATTATCAGCCTTATAATATTCTGTAGAAGTTCTTTCACTGCTGTCCTCCTACTTATTTCTAGCGCTATTTCTTGGAGAAGGCAGGGGGAGGAGGAGCAAATAGAAATCCGTCTGTTAAAGGGGGGAGATAAATAGGAAAGCAAATAATTTCTCATGGTAAGTGTAATCTTTAGTGGCTACAGAAATACTCAATTGGGAGAGAGGTGTTTGAAAGAGGGAAAGCCCGTCATGAGCCACTATTTCTGGGTGGAATAAGGCTACCATGTTTTTTTCCTTGTAGTCTCTCCCAGGCATAACAGCAGAGTAGCCTAGAAGAAATCTGCTTTTCTTTTGTCCTCGGTGAAACATCCTGCCAGTTTCTGCTGTTCCAAATTACTGTTTGAATAACGCTGTCAAAATGAGATTTCTGTTACTTGTATTTAGGAGAGTTGAGAGTGCTTGCTCAAATGTGAGGGACTTCACAGAGCAAGCATTATTTGCATAATTTTTTTTCCCTAGGCCTGACGCCTTCTCTTCTGGTCCTGTATCAGGTCATGTTACAAATGCCTTGTAGAAGACACTTTATTTTTCTGTAATGTGTGCATGCATTCATGACACTGCGTCAGTGTGTGTTAACCTCATTCCCAGCCGGAGGTTAACCAACAGTAATGAGCTGGTGACAAGATGCAGAAAGGAAGAATAAGGAAGAAGATAAGGATAAGGAAGAAGAGCATGGACATCTCTCTGTCTGTGTGTATTGACAACACTGAAGCAGAACGCTGCCATCAAACCTTTGGCTCCATCTAGGTTGTCCTTGTTGTGTTGTTTTCCTTTTATATAGTAAACTGTTTCAGGATCACATCCTCCTCTTAAACAATTTCTGTAAGTCAGTGGAAAGAGAAAGCTAGGACAGATACTCAGTAACACTTGCAAATCCACAGAGCGCTTAAAATACCGATTCAGAGATCTGTTTTACTTTTTTGTGTGTTTTTTTAATATGAAAATTGCTTTCTCAAACAAAGAATGCACTCACACAAGCTAAACGAGACATATCAATTCAGGGACAGCCACTAACATTAAGCCTTTGACAAATACTTCAGGCATATGTGGAAGTAAAATGTCTTAAGCTGTTAGTTGTAAAGCTTTGTTATGGCCTTGCCGTGCTTTTCTCCTAGAAGGCGGCTCAATACCAAAGCCTGTCTTTACCATCCTTCTTTTTTTTTTCAATGAGACTTTTCATGAAAATGAAGGGACTTAAGGAGCTGCTGCGTTTCAGTGTTCTTTGCCCATTAGGGCTCTATGTGTTCGGACTGTCGTGCAGAATTATGTGCGGTTCTGTTGTCATCTCAAAATTCCATTTTCTGTTGATGTGTTTTTGAAATAGGAATCCAAGTCTCCTCCGATGTCACCAATCTGTTCACCTCCTGCTTCTCCGTCTAGTTACCAGAGAACACCCTTAAGTTATGGATATGGTAAATCAAGAGGTGGGTTGGAGCAGCAGCACGGAGGTAGGATAAAAATTGGGATGCACACATTATAATCAGTTCTTTTTTTTTTTTTTCTTATAAGCTTCTAAATTTCAAATGCAACCAACAATCAGGCTAATGATTTCAAGTTTTAATTATATGTGTATTTTGGAAAATGATCCAATCACCTAATTCTGTTTTACATAAAAGCTTTTCTTTCTGATTATGCGATCTTGTCTTCCTGTTTGTTTTCTGCTAAATTAGGTAGATCTGTGTGTCACTGCTCACAGATAAATGCTAATACCTAATTTTTGACACGACTATATGCAGTATGTTCCAATGATGGGAAGTTTGTGAATATTTTTAGAGTGCATGATGCTTTTTGTTTGATTAGAGGAGAAGGAAATTGTTTATTTAGAGGAGAAGAAAAGCCCACTTCTGATCTTAGTACCTGCTATGTTACTTTCCAAATTTCCTGCAGACAAAGGTTTATTGTAAAGGATAATAATCTCTGGTTGCGTAACAAAAATAACAATAGGCTATGAATATAAATATAGTCCCATGATGTAACCTAGACAAAATAAACAGAAATAAAGCCCTACAAAGATATTTTGTCCTTGTGGCAAAATCCTCTGACTTTAGTAAGAGGATAGTGTATATCTTAGCAGGACAGAAGCTTACAGTGAAGTTTTGGGGTAGAAGCCAGGCTTTACCCAGGGTTTAGAAGCTCATGTTACAGGTAAGGTGCCTTTCTTGTCCTGATTGCAACATCTGGTGAGCAAGGTGGTGGAGATACTAGGCATCAGTATACTGTCCTTCCATCAAAGGGACTAGGAAGGCAAGACTGCTGTGAATTAGTTTATAGTGAATGAAAAGTGGAGTATGTTAGTCCTTTATCAGTTATCCTCATTTACAAACGAGTGAGTAAACAGAGGTAATAAAACATTTTGAAACTAATTACAGACATGATAAGAATGCGATTGAACACAATCAAATGACGTTCTGGTTAAAAATTGTAATTAGTACTGATTCACAGCCATTTAGTTGTGGATTAGGTAACCTATCGTTTACTCAGATGTAGGTTTTTTTCCCACCCCACCCTTAGCATAACTGATTAAAACAGTAATATTTGACATCTGAAATAAGCAGCAGCAGTTAGATTGTCGTCTAGCTAGATTGTCGTTGAGGTTTGAGCAGAGAACCTCAACATCAGAGGTTCTGCTCGAATGAGTGGCACGTGCTGCAGATAACATACAGCCTGAAGAGCAATGCACTAAGATATGGGAGGTTATTGGGAATAGTGGTCTGTATTACCTGTAGAGTGCTGCACTGTTTTCTGGGGTTGTTTTCATGCTCTGCCAGGGTTACAGCTTTTTTGGGTGTAAGGTTTTGTTCTTTTTGCTTCCTGAATTTGGTTGCAGTAGTAACTTCAGTGAAAATCCTCATGGAAGCAGGGAAGTTCCATGGCAAACAAAAACCATGCGCAGTGAGCAGAGGGAGGAGAATCCAGCCTAATCAGTGTGTGAGATTCTTCTAAAATTCATCATTCAGCTACTTGAATTGTTAAGGTGGTAAAATCCTGTAGGTGTCTGTGCTTGTTTTCCAAAAAGCACTGAAGATTAATATTGTGTTAATGTTCTCATTAACAGACATTATACATTATACAGACATATACTCATACATTAACAGAGAGAAGTAACGAGGTAAAATTTTATGGCCTGTGAAATACCGAATGTCAGGCTAGGTAACCTAATGGTTCTTTCTGACTTTAAAGTTCATTTTTTTGAAGATCACTCAAAACATTTGTTTATGTGCATGTAGTGATAGCTTCACAGAATTGATCCTTTTAGCCTCTTTTATACTGAAAGTGTGATTTTGAAATTAGACAGTGTGTCTTAAGAACATTTAAAAGTCAACTCCTTGTACTGCAACCATGGCTATGTACTAATGGATTTTACTCTCTTCTTGATAGCTTTTGAAGTTTATCTTAATAGCAAGCACATAGCAATGTGGCCTTGTACTTATGTTTCCTCTTTAAATACTTCTGTATATTTCACAGCTTCCTTCCTGTGTTTTTTCTGAAATTAGAACTTATTTGTACTGGAGTAAAAATAGATACCAATACAGGATAAGATCACATAGAAGGTGAGGGGGTTGTGCATATAATTTTAAGATCTTTCTGGGCTTAATAAAATTTAGAGCTTTCTTGTTAGCACTTTTCATCAGGAGTTTCTTAAAATGTGTCTATCTAATGCAGACAAACTTCTTACTTTTTAAATACCCTGACAACAGAAGTTTACAGCTCTGTAAGAGAGTTTGCAAGTGAGTTATTTGCCTTTGTGTTGGTGTACAGGATCTATTTTTAAGACATTGTTCTTAAATAGGCATTATGTCACTGCTTACTATATTTGCTGCAGTGGAATGTAAGTGACTTAGCTAAAAAAGAAGTGATTGTGATTGTTGCTTTTCCTCACTAACTTTAGTTCAGATTATGAGATGTACTGAACCTCTTATTTTGCTTTTCAATTGAAATTTGGGGAGGGAAGAGAAAGAACATATGGAAGATTAGTGATTTACTCTGTCTGATAGCATTGTCAAAATAAGTTTTTCTGCAGCTCAATTTGACTATTTCTTATTGCTTACAATATCTTCTGCTTTATAAGGCTAGAAACACATCAAATTAATAAATATATAAGCAAGCTATATAAATATATATTTCAACAATATGAGCAGTGATTTATGTTATCTAATAAGATAATAGGATGGTTCTTATCAGTAACATCTAAAGGAGAATGGTGTAGTATGAAAGACGAGCATGTAGCTGGGATTCTGTTGCAAAAGACAGCATGGGCTTTGATATGATGACATTAAGTTCACTGATGCTTGAGCTTGTAATATTTAGCTTTTGCATTAGCCTAGTAGAACCTTATTTCTTATCCTTTTATTCATTTATTTTGAATATCTGCAGCGCCTTATGAAGTCAGACATTCTACTCACCAGCAAGATGGACCATCCTCAGGGAATTATGGAGCCAAGTCTACACTTACATGTTCAACTCTTACTCGGGTAATGAATTCCACGTGTTTTTCTATTATAATACTACTAATAAAGCAATAGAGAAATTAAAAGAAAAAAAAGGGAAAAGAATTCTCACTTCCAAAGTAAAATGTATTCTCCATGGTATTTTTAGATGAGAGACTGAAACATGCTTTTTTAATGCAGGAAAAGACAAAAGCAAAGCTGATAGGAAGGAAGAATTAAAATTAATAATCAATTAAATTGATGAAGCGAAGGAAAAAGAAAACTACAAATCACATAGGGAAACTAGACTTGGGATCTTCTGTTCAAATGTGAAAGAATGTGGAGTCTATCCTAGCAAAAGTAAAACGTTTTCTTGTAAAATGTGTGAGATTTCGCTGAGATTGCCGCTTGATTTTTGAATGTCATCTGTTATATGTGCACAGAATCCATGGCATAATACCTGGCTTATTCAGTTCTGTTGCCCCAGTTTATTAGAAGGAGTCTCAAGCAGAACAAACCAAACGTCTGGACATTTGCTTTTTATGAAGTGGGTTCTATGTTTTCCTGCTGGCTGCAAAACCAGATCTTTGCAATATTCCAGTATGCCTGCTGTGCGTTTATCATGCCAAGGGGTAGTTTATCTTGAAAAAAATCTTGCTGATTTACCAGCAGAACTCTCTTCTCACCCCTACTCCTTGTGTTGTTTTAAAGCCAACATTTTTTTATGGCTGCGCGCTCCCTTTTTACTGCCTTCTACCACTAGGACAAGATAAGGCATGGATTAGTTATTTAGGGGATGGGACTGTTAGTGTAGGAAGGTTTGTTTGTTTCTTTATTTTTAATTCTGACAGATTTTCCTACCCTACACAGACATCTATTTAGCAATCAACGAGCACAGTTCCTGTAAAAATTAATTCATTGCTTATTTGCTGATATATTGGTGGAGCTGTATTTTCAAGTTTTCTTCCAATTTGATTAAACACAGTGCACTCTAATTCCAATTTATAATAGCTCATTTACGCATCACAGTCATTCTGCAGCAGAAGTTCTACACATCTACCAAGACCTAGGTAGTAACCAAAGAATAATTTTAAATCATCTTTTTCTTTTCCTTTTTTTTTTTTCCTAAAGCTTGCCCAATATCTTCACGCTTAATAGGAAGAGGTTTTGACAGCAACACACTTGCAACTGGAACAGATTAGGCTGACTTATAAAATATGCCATTTGTGCCTTGTTCCATTACTTACGTTCTATTTAAACTTTTTTGGAGAATTAAGATTATACTTGCTTGTACAGCTGACTTGAGTAAGTTCAAAGACTCTTGTTGTTTTAGTACTTAAAACCCAGTTTTCAGGAGGAGTAATTACAAAAGTGTCCTAGCCACTGAGCTGAAGTAGGAGCAGGAGAGCTGTGGGATAGATGGTGTCATGAGGACCCCTATGCTCTGGTGTTAGCCTTGAACCTCTTACAGAGGCAGAAAAATGTACCTGGAGAACGAGTCGTGCTCTGCCTCTTCTGGTCTGCTTTTAGTTTGGTTCAGTTTTAACTTCCAAGAGAAACATACTGAAATGCAGTTTCCTTCTCCCAAGTATGCCTTTTTATACAGGGCATAGTAATACTTTATTATTCTTGGAAATACTAAGTTTCTAAAAAGTATATGCATCTTACCCCTAGCATATCTGAAAGGAAGAATTTTAGGGAAGGCTGGGTTATGATTGGGAGAGGCTGACAACTCTGCCTTTTCAAATGACCAAGCCAAAAAAATTAAATAAAATAAATCACAATAGTCTATTATGCCCTCTTTTCTCTTTTGGTAGGTTTTATGGACTGTGAATTCATTTCTAAAGGTTGCACCTTTCAGTGTAAGGAAATTCTCCTTTTCCACCGCACCTTCTCCATTAAGAATAGCAATTCTGGAACAGGGCTGAAATAGGTTCCCCTCTTGGAGAGTTCATGCAGTAACGGCAAAGTTGACGTTACCAAAGGACAGACGTGGTGGGTGCTTGTAATAGCGCTGCTGCTGCCAATACAGCAATGGCTTTCTAATGGCATGGGCGTACAGAGATTCTGTAAGGCCGTCAGTTGTCTTTGTGGCATGGTGCGATGTAGACCTGAGCCATGGCACAAAATTTTTGAATACTCCAATCACTTTTTAAGAGTCCTACTTTAATGAAAAAATACTGAACACTAAAGCATTTCCAATAAAAAGCTGCATGCTTCAAGCGGAAAATCAGAGTAGTGAAAAAAAAAAAAGGTTCTTTTGAGTAATTTTAAGGAAGATTTTTTTTGCACAGCCATTTTCTATCTGGATGGCTGGGTTTTTACCGGCCATTTTCTTACAAATTCTTCTGTGGTGTTAGCAGTGGTGAATCTCCTTCAGTATAGGCAATTTTGAAGGAATATGTGGAGATCAGATCAGCTACTGACTTCTCTAATAATGTGAAAGGCAAGGCTGAAAGAGCTAGTGATTAAAAGTCTGATGTCACTAGTGGCTTGTGCAGATAATCTCTATTCCAGGGGCAAGAGTGGTGGAGAATTTTAAGGCGCAGAAATAACCAGGCTGATTAACATAGCTTTATGCTTATCACTGACATTACTTTCGTATGGCTCAAAATTTCCTTTCTCTCAGTCTCATTTCACATTTCAATCATGTCATGTATGTGTCAGTTCTGCTTATATCCCGGAGTTGCACGAAAGGACTATAGAAGGACTAAAGAATATAGCTTTGTATTCACTATTGTGCAGACCTTTGAAATGAAATTTTCTAGAGCTCCCTTATAGAAAAAAGGTAAAACTTTCCTAATAGTTTTGAATTTTTTTTTTTTTTAGACTAAGCAGTTTTGCCTTTTTAAGAAAAATAAGGGAGAGCTTGTCCTAAATAAATAAGATCCAGGGATTCTGTACCTTTTTACTAGTGTTTAGCATCCCACACCCATAATAAAATGTCACCAGAGCCTCAGGAAAAGATCTGCAGATAATGTCACATAGTTTGTGCTAACTTGGAGTGAAATTGGGGTGCGTTTGTGCACTACTGTGAAATGAAACTTAATTTCCAGCTTTATGATGTTGCCTGTTTCAGGGATCTTTTGATGTATTTCAAAACCAGTGTTTTGTATTTGATTCTTAGAAAATTGACAAGTATATCAGAGAAACGTTTCAGAGTTGGTTGGAGTATGATTATTGTTCATTCTTGCCCTCCCTCTTTAAGCATGTTTGTCATTCAAGCCAAAACCATCTTAAATACTAAGTCATTCCAGTTTAACAGAAAGAGTAATTGCACTGGCAGCCCTCTTCTGGACGCTATCACCCAGCTTACCAAACATGCAAACTAGCCTTAAGCAAGACAATCTAAAAGCAAATAAGTAGGTAAATAAAATGTTCTTCTCCCCTAGAATATTTTGTTTCCTGAAGCAGAGTTTTTACAAAAACTGGAGCAAGTGACAACAAGTCAAGGGGGTGCCTAGGATTATGCCTCTCTCTCTGGTTCAGTGTAGCATGAGCTGAGAATTCAGAAGCGGTGTAGCTCTGTAATTACAACACCGCTCCTAAACTAAATATGCAGTTTCTTAGCAGAGCTAAATTTTTCATGTGTTATGCTGCATAGATGTAGCTTTAGGTCCTTTACAAGTGCTATCTGTTTTAAATGTACAGTGTTCAGCTGAGGGTTGTTGTGCATGGCAGGCTGAAACCCCCAAATGAGTCCAGAGGTAATAAGGTATGACTCTGAGTTTCCTTTTTGCTATCAGCAGTAGTAAGATTTCCTTTTTCTTTTAGTTTCTGTCATGTAAAGCTTCCTTTAACTGTCTGGACAGAGATACTTAACGTTAGGCTCAGTTGCAGAAGATAAGTAACGAGACCCGGTAGTCAGCGTGGCCCTTTCTGCCAGTCATCTTTTTAAAAAACCTGTCTGCTAATGGAGTAAAGTGAACGTGGTTCCCTGAGGTTGTCCCGTGCCCTGCTGGGCCCCTTCGTCGCTGGCTGCCAGTGGCTCTCCCTTCAGTCTCTTTCCGCAGAGCGGGAGCCGCCGGACAGCAGCGCCCATTACGCAGATGACCCCTGGAGAATAACTGAGGAGCAGCGGGACTATTACGTCAACCAGTTCCGGTCCCTGCAGCCCGACCTGAACTCCTTCATTTCAGGTAATGTTTACCAAATAACCTGCACGTCGAGTAAACAGACGAAGCTGAGAGATGCAAAGTGCTGGGTAGATAAACTTTTTTTTGTTTTTTCCTTTTTAATTTTCTGTAGAGTATGCTTATGAAAAAGAGTTGATTGTGTTTTATTTAAAAAAGGCCAACAACTACAACACCAAACTAGCACTGTGAGCATTATGTTTTGGTTTTGGTTTTTGCTTTTCTAAATATTCGTATTGATTGTTTCAGAAGTGGTTCTGTTCTAAAAGCTGACTGTGTGAAAAGCAAAGTGCATCACACCCGCTTTAATATTGCAGACAAAATATCTTTTCTCCTTTCACTTCAGTCCCCGGAAGTTCACTCTGCTACCTGAGAATCGGACAAGTCTCTTTTTTTCTCCCCCTGCCCTGTGCATCATCCTGAGAAATCCAAAGGTTGCTTTCTGTTACACATTGCCATCCCATTGCCTTTGTGCATTTGCACAGATGTTATTGATTGGGATTGAAAAAGAAAGCACTAGTGATGATGCAGATCAGGTTCCTTCTCTTGGTTAAGCTGCCTGTAGAGCTAAGGGAGAAAGACATGAAAAACTGTGACTTGTCACTAAAACAAAGTGCTACCTATTTCCAGTGCATTATTTGAATCTGTTGAGAGAGAAAGCAACCCTGCTGTTCAGACTTGAGGCAACACTCTGAATGTTCAGTTGTCACTCCAGGAAAATATTTTCATCTAAGAGAGCAGTATTGCTGTTCAATAAAAACCGAAATAAACTGTGTCACTCTGAGGGACAGTATTTGTGGACCCCACAAATGTGGGGATCACACAGTGTACTGAGCTGAAAAAACTTAGGCTTCCCAGCAGAAATGTGGCAGCACCCATGTGATGAAAGTTAAGCACATAGTTAACTGCTCTGTGTGGTCAAGCCTGAGTGTTTATGGCTCTGAGGGACCGAGACTTTGGCCTGTAGGTGGTTAAAAGCAAATCTTGGAGAGCGCACGCCTGGTAAAAATATCGTAACAGCATATCGAGATTGCATTTTCATCCTGAGTAGGCAGATCAGACTGCTTGTGAGAGGAATCATTTTAGGTACTGGCAGTTAGTCTGGCAAGGAAGAAGTCACAGGCTTTAAACTGAGGCAGTTTTACTAAGCCCTGCTGTATTATTGCTCTTCAGCGCCATCAGGGTTTCAAGAGGTTCTAATTCAGCCAGAAGTTTGAATAAATTACTTGATGCTGATAGAAATTAATGCTTTACCAGTTTTTTCTTTGCCTCAGTTCAGTCTTCTCCTTATGGTTTGCCTGAGGGAGAAGAGAAAATGGTGGTTCAATAATACTCTGTTTCCCCACAGACATGTATGTATCTCTGACTGTGCATGCCTGTAGATATGCATTTTCATATGCATATGTAGCCTCTCTGGGAGCTACGCGTTTTGCTTTATGAAGCAGAGTTCTCAGGGAGCCTTTACACACCCAGAGTTACTGCCCGTGAATGAAGTTCTAGCTTCCACAACATCCTACAGCAATTAAGCGGTAGAAATCCTTGCTCTGTGCTGATAAAGATACTAGAAGTTTGTCTAGGTTTACAAAGTGATTTAACAAATCTATGATAGAAAATGCATCAGAAGTTACTGAATGTTTAAATGTTACCTCTGGCTTGAGAAGTTCCTGAACCACAAATAGTCAGAGGTTGGGAGGATGTTCTGAAGCTGTGTTACTACACGACTTTGTCCTGGCCTTATGTAGGCCTCCAGTGTAGGAGATGAGTTGGTCTTGGTCATGTCCCAGTTGTGGCTTTTCTTATGTACTGCAGCAGATGATCTGATGGGAGTGTGCAAAGGAAAGAGGAAGATTACACTGCCTTACGTTTTGTAAGCCTGTATCCAGGAAGGCCTTCCTGGCTCTAAGGAGACTTGTGCCACCACTATAGCTCGTTCGTATGAGATAGTGAAACAGTGGATTTGTTAGCTAGGAAAAGAATGAGGGGGAATGTTATGGCAAGGGTGAATGTGCATCCTTGCTAGAAGGACAGTAGCTATGTGATTCCCAAATCTCTTGTGTTTCTCTTTCATGATGTTTTGGCCACTGCAAGGGAAAGTCATAGCTGAAGCAGCAGATTGGGAGAGCAATATAAGACACCACAGCCCTGTGCTGTCACATGCATGGCTTCTGGGTAAAACACAGCCATTAGTATCCAATTTCTCATTACTGGTGACAGACTAATTATGCTGGTTAGGATCAGTAGCACTGGAGCATGTTTCACTTTATTTATTTTTCCCATATGGAGGGAACGGAGAAATGAGGTCAAGAGCTCTGTCTGGCTTTCTCTGTCACTCACTCACTGAGAGGCGAAGGGGCTAGCGGCTATATTAGCATGCGGTTAATCGGAGTGTCTGTTGAACGCAAGGTAACCAGCTGCTTCTAGTGCAGCAAACAATTGGAGAATTAATTTTAAATAGTTGATAAGGCACGGTTTCCCAACAGGTTCCGTGGCAAAGAATTTCTTCACAAAATCAAAGCTTCCCATTCCAGAGCTTTCCCACATCTGGTAAGTACTGTGATAGCACTTGGGATGTGTATCTTGTTTTTTAAAGTATGTTTAATTCAAGAGTACTTGCTAAATTTTTAAAAAGCATCCTTAATTATAATTATCGCTCTTATCTCCAGAATCACTCTCAGGCCCAAGCAGCAGGGTGCACGCTGATCGTCCTGACACCCTTGTTTTCTCTAGGGATGTTCGCCTACTCAGCAGGCCTAGGAGGATTTGAACAGCAGTTTAAATGAGAGCTGTTCTTCTGTATATTATAAGCAAGATCACTAGCTCAACAAACTGACATTTTTCATGAAATGTTATAGAGGAAAAGCACATTTGGAATGTTTTAGATGTGTGGTTGGTTTTATGTTTCTGTCTGTGTTTTGTCAGATGAGACCTAATTAATACCTAATTTTTAGTAAGTACAACTACATAATTCATCAGTGTTTTTCCAATGAACCGCGCGCTTACTTTTAATGGGCTTATTTAGAAACGATTGTAGATGGAACTGTACACAGAATTTGACAAGGATTCTATTATATTTTCATAAACAACATAGTGCTTTGTAGTTCAATGTCATCCTCGTATGTGGATATGAAGAACAAACGGTTTTAAACATTGATCAAAAATGCTGATAGAGTTTTTACTCTACTTGTATATATACTTTTGTGAAGGTAGATGTGAAGAAAAGCTTGCAAAAGCCTAAACATCTGTTGGGGCCAAAGAACATGTCTGGAATCTTTTCCAAGCATGTTTTGAATCATGAAAATAAAAAAACTGAAGAAACGTTCTGTTAGGGGGAAGTGCACATTGGTATTTAATTTAAAATTTATTTAAGAAAAATGGATTAACCCAGTACAAAAACAAAACACATTTTATTTACGTTGCTGACAAATTTTTGTTCTCTGCACAAAATTTAAAGAAAAGAATTAAAATTTTGTGGTGATGTGTTTTTTAATCAGATTTCGTCTCTGTTAAACACTTGAGGTGTTTCAGTCTTTGTAACTATAACCTCAACAGTTTCAAAAATGCTCATTACTTTCAAAGACTAGGAAGTTGCATGTTTATTTTAATCATTGTGCTAATAATAAATGAATATTTACTTTTTGCAAGGAGTTAGCTTATAAAACTGAATTCTTGAATTTCTGAAATCCAGTTTTATTGTTTGAGAAGGATCCTAGAATTAAACAGAGAACAGCTTTAATGAGCAGTTTAACGATAATGTTTAAACTTGTCACAGACGTTAAATTAGCTCTTCAGTTCTTGCAGCCAGTCAACACCACTGATTAAATGTTTGCTGAACTCCATTTTTATTTTTTTCTGCTCAAACTGGTTTAAGATCCTGCGTGGATTAGCCAAAACTGCTTCGACTCACTGGAAAGCTAACTTCACCCTTGAAACTACAGGATATGTATTTCATGCTACAGTATGTATTATCATATTGTATGATATGATGTGTAAGAAAAAAAATGGGCTTCATTAACAAAGAAGAAAGCTACAAAATTAGCTTACTTCGTTTTCCCACGGCAAATGTATAAAAGTACACGTTCCTATGTATTTGGGAGTTGTTATAGTTGGAATCGAGCATCAGTGAGAGAGAAGCTTGTCTTGTACTCAAATTAAAATAACCCTTTAGAAAGTTGCGTTTCTGTACCTTCTGCGATTGCACACGCACGTTGCTCCGAGGCTAGGGCTTGGAGAACGTGTGAATGTCGTGTCTGCAGGGAACTGAGCGACGTAGATTGCGATGGAGCGCTGACCCTCGCAGAGTTTTGTGCTGCTTTCCACCTCGTCGTTGCTAGGAAGAACGGTTACCAGCTACCAGAGACGTTGCCAGAGACGCTGCTGCCCGACTACCTTCAAGCAGGTGAGCTTGTCACATTCCCGTAGCTGTCTCAGAAACCCTCCACCTACAGAAAACAGATTTTTTTATTTCCAAGTTGCAGGTAGAGTTGAAGTCTAAACTGAATAATGGCTCTCCTGCTGCTTTTTAAAACATGGATTTTTAAATGTGTTTACGAGGCGACTGCTGAAGAAGGAATGTGTAAAAGCATAAAACAGCGATGCAAAATGTAGCCTTCTAATGTCTGTTTCTTTGCTCTGGTGCACTGCAGGTGTCATTAGGGCTAAAGTGGCAGATGACTGCCTGCAGCAAAGATAATCTAACAAGACTTTCATGGCTTTTAGCTCTTGTGATGATTTTTCCGTATGTATACAGATTCTTGAAGGTGTATTGAAAATGATCCTGGCCTGCCTTGGAACTTATTACGCTAATTTATTTTGTTGGATGCAGTTACCAGTTCTATCAAAGGTGGAATTTTTGTAAACTTATTTTCTGTAAGCGACAGCTTCTGCTGTAAATGATTTGTGGTGATGACAGGGGATTACAACAGTTTGTGTAGAACAAGGATAAATTAATCCAAAATACAACATACTTCAGTAACAATGTGCAGTGAAAGACATACCCTTTCATTTGTTCTCTTCAGTTATGTCTCTTGTAATTATACATGAATACTGAAATATGTTCTGTTCCATTTAAAAAACGTGCATGACTTTCTAGGGCAAGGAGCATTAATCACAGATGATAATTACAGTGCTAACGGATAATATTTAAGACCTAATAAAATCTCCATTAAATTTGATGGCACTGAATACATTAAAAGACAGGAAAAGAGCAAATCAAGCTGTAGTTAGGAAAATTAAATGTTCACCCTGTATCAGATTATTGAAGTAATTTCTGTTGGAGTCTTGTTCCCTATAATCCACTGTCTTCATATCCAAGAGGAGAAGCTCCTGAAAAACCTATACCACCAAATTGTCTTCACTTTTAGCCTCTCTAATTATACTCTGTAATCGTAATTACAACTACCCTTTTCCCCCCAGGACCACCACTTTGTTCACTAGTCTCACTCCTGTTCTCATTATAAATTAGACTGTAAGCTCCTCCGTGCAGGTTCTTGTCTTCCTATATTCTTGTTCTTGTTGGCGTCTCTTCGCATTAAGCCTTGTAGTATAGAACTGCAATGGCACTAAGTGTTGACAGTAATAAGGAATCATAATATCAACAAAAAGAAAAGCACGATAAGCTGTGGTTGTTCCCTGGGAGCCCCCTTTCGCCATAATTTGCCCCTTTCAGCACTATAGCCTTTATCATTTTCTCGTATAATTATTGTTTCATGTGTTGCACACAGCTAAGCGTTTTGAGCTGATCCATGTGAAAGAGTTAAAGGTTCTAGGAGTTAAAGCTTGTTGGTTCTAGGCCCACTCAACAACTTTCTTGGTTATAACGATTTAAGGGTCTGAAAATGCATCATTCTGAAAATGTGTCATTGTGCTGCCTAGTCAAGATTCAGAAATATGTCTTTTGAAAGACTTGTAGAATTAAAAGCGGAACATCTCAACACCTTATAACACAGTGAACTGCGAAAAAGAGAAGAGTCCTGGTTGTACCAACTTTTGCTTACTTACTGATACTTTCGTTTCAAATAAGCATATAGTTACCTAAACAGAAGAAAGTTCTTTTTTCATATGAGAAGTCCTAATCCTAATTTGATTTAACTTCTATGAAATTTAGATTTTATTTGGCTGATTAGGAATGTGACGAAAACTGTTTTTCATTAGGTTGTTGTATTAAGTTCAGAGTAAGGCAGACTGGTTCATTCTTTAATTTGGCTCAGGCAAAATATTTGCTTCTGATAGTAATGTTAAAGCTTCAAATAAATTGACTTGGAGCATTTTAGAATGAATTAATCTTGCAGGTTTTATGGCCTGTTGTATAAACTGCAAATGCAGAGTCAAATTTTATTCTGGCAGGGCTCCATTGATAATTTGACCTGTTTCTTTCTCTGAAAGTTTTTCTTGAAACAAATTTTAAAAATCCAAAAGGCTCCTTGCCCTATACGTAACCCACTGTATTTTAAATTAAGACAGATTTGCAAGAGCTTAATTTGTTCAGATGAACCAGATGCTAGCCGAAAACTAAAAATTGGACTTGAGGACTGGTTATTCTACCTTTCAATGTGTTGATCTTAAAGAAAAAAGGTTTTCCAGCTGTTCAGACAGATTTGTCTCAGAGGAACTAATCCCAGAACGATATCAGCAGAAAGACCTGAGCATATGGAATAGAAACATGGCTGTTGAGAATATTACTGTCAAAGGTTGCAGAGTTGTGGGGGTTTTTTTTCCTGCTTTCGGTCCTGTTTGGTTAAAGAATACCAGCGATGATGCATACCGCAGCAACTACTGTATTTAGTGTGTTTGGTTTTTACTGGGCTTCAGTTTCAGTGCATAATGTAGATTCTACTATACTTTCCAATATTTGAAGTTCCAAAAATGGGAGTTGAAGGTTTGGTGAGTACCTTTATCATTCACAGAACAGCAGATGTAAACTATAAAGCCAACTAAGCTGATACTGGACTGCATGGAAGAAAAGCACAAATAACACTTAGTTGTTTTGGAGTTAAAATTTACTAAGAGCCACTTTCTCCCAAATTTGACAGTTACTTCTACAACAGATGTTATATGTGTTGTTGCTTTAGTGACCTCTGCTCCAAAATGCAAGATAGAAGGATTTTTTCAAAATGTTTGTCACCCATTAGGTGGGTGGCTTATAGATCAGCTTCAATGTAAAGAGAAGAAGGGTGAAATAATGATGGCACAGCGTTTTTAAAAGTGTGTATTAACCAAAGACTTGGCATGTCTTTCTGTTTCTTTTTTGTTTCCCCTGCAGCTTCTTTGAAGCCTATGCATGACTGCGCGCTGTTTGATTCTTATTCTGAGTCATTGCCGGGCAGTCAACAGACTAGGGACTTTAATCGGACAGAGGTAAGAACGTGCAAGAAGGACGGTTATGTTACGGAGTTGAGAGCAACAGGCACACTTAACAATTAATGTGGTACGTGTAGCAGCAGAACGGTGAGTCTCTAAGAGGACTGTTAGCCTTTAAGCCATCTCAAACCCTTCTCTTCGTCAGTGCGTGGAAAGGGCTGACAGGTATTTTTCAAAAGATGCTTCCGAGTAGCACAGTTTACAGTAGTCGTCTAGGGACTCCAGGCTAGCATATTGCTAGAGTCTGTGCAGAGGAGTAAACCTCAACTACCCGTGTCCTGTTGTGCAGCACTTGATCCTCCTGTGTTGGGAAACAAAAACGTGAAGATCAGCCCATGCTGCAGTAGGGACAGTGGCACAAGGGCAGCGCTTTAGGTGAAAACTCTTGTGAATCTGAATTGGTCAGAAATGTTAGGCTTCGGGGGCAGACCTGGTTCTAGTGAGGCAGTCCTGAGCATCTAGCTGTTTGCTCCCTTTCAAGGAATGTTTCTGCCATTTACGATGCTCCGTTTCAGTACTTTTTCGCCCAAAATTTTGTTGATGAGAAGAAAAATGTATTGGCTCACCCTGGTTCTTTTTCTCTTTGGAAACTGATACCCTACTAGGTTTTGTATGTTACGGACATGCACGGTTCTATGTGATTCGGTCATCATTTTAATAACCAGCCTTCTTTTAGTCTAAGGATCTAGGTAGTAATTGTAAGGAGCTTGGAAGAGTGTTTTGAGGGAAGAACAGGGAAAGAATCTTAAGGATCCATTGTAAACAAAATCACAACATATGATATCAATGTTATAATGAAAGACTGTTGCAAGCAAAGTGACTCAGTTAACGAGAAAAGGAGTTTACTGCAAAAGTTTTAAAGAGGCTGTTAGCAGAATTACCTGTGGCCACCCAGTTGTGCCTGGATATTGCAACTCTGACTGTATACGGTGCAGAATTTGAGTTTGGCCTTTAAGACAGTGAATCAAATGGCAGACTGACTGCAAGAACAGGGCTACAGCTCAGAACTGTTAAGCCTCTGAAAACTGACATGGATGGCTGCTATGATTGAAGGAGAAGGCGCTTCTGATGCTGCTTCCAAATTAGAGAGTAATGGTATGTCACACCAGCTCAGCTAGACACCAGCAAGGCTTTTCTCCAGTTATTTAATCTCTGTCTCTTGTTCTGGGAAGCTTCCAGGTCAGAATCTAGCTCCCCCTTCATCAAATTTAGCACTGAATAGCACGGCCAGGCAGGTTCTCCTAAGCTGCTACGCCTAACAAAACTCAGCGCTATTTTCACTTTGGATATCATTGCAGTCCATGCTTTCAGCAGCCGGTTGGTCTTCTGGAACTGTTAAAATGTACGTGGCCTCCCCAGTGCTCTCCCAGCTCACTGGGTATTGCTTTTGGTACAGCACAGCTTGACTAAAATATAGCAATTGTACTGGATTTTGAAAGCAGTGCTGCTATTTTGGCAGTATAGGCAGAACAGCCTTGCCCTGTTAATATGCCCTCCCTCTGTGAGGGTGGTTAGCAGCAGGGGCCAGGTTCTGCTACAGGCCACACTGCACTAGAACTGCTGCGCTTTGTAGGATAGGAAACCTAAACACTACTGTGATAATGTGCTTCATTAGCATGTATGTTTATTGCTTTGCAATTTAAATGAGTGTAAGAGACAAAAATCAAGGTGATTTGTGTTGAAAACTTGCATTTGCTAATGTCAGCATGTAGTCATACGTAGCTCCGCTTCCAGATTGCAGAAGGTCAACTGAGTATGTGAGTTAACTCCTTATATCAGCTTAAGATCTTTTTCTGAAAGTCGTTTGTCTTCTGCTCAAAAGTCGCTATATCCCTGTCCAGATAGGTTTTTTTTTTATCAGTAGGCAAATCCCCTGAATGTCAGTTTCTCTTTACGTTTACATGTGCATTTTTGTGTGCACATATAAATATGCAGGGGTGTATGTGTGTGCACACACTGTATAGATAGATCCATTTATTTATCTCTGTGGTCTAGGGAGTCCTTGTTTTTGTTAGGATAATGGCTTAACAAATGCTTACCCGGATATAGAAAGTAGTCTTTGTTGTTGAACAGTTGTGAGGAAGTATGCTCTTTAGTAGCACAACCTTTGGGACTGTGAGATTAGAATATTCATTTATGTGTTTCACAAGGCTCAAAAATCTTGCTTTCAGTGTCGTCTTGTGTTTTTTAATAATAAAAATATCATTTCAATAACCTAACTAATAAAATTTGATAATCTTATTAAGCTTTAGGACTTTAAGGATCAGCTTGTTTGTGCTCCTTGAATGTATGTGCAGAGTAAGGATAAATCTAAAAGGAGATGATTTCCTAAACAATTACATTGTATGTTTCTTTGCTTTACAGGGTTTTTTTTTTTTGCTACACTAGAGATGATAATAGTAGGAATACTATAGTAATAATAAAATAGCTGCAGGAGGGTATACACTAAAAAAAATTTTTAAAAAAAAAAGAGGCAAGGAATTCCCCATTTTACATTTAATTTTTCATTGGATTTTCCGCAGTTAAGCTTTCAAACCTCCTGTATTCTCTGTTTCTTAAAACATTCTCACCAGAATTACCAATAGCTTATGGATTACTGTGCTGCCCCTGCAGTGAGATAATGTTATTGGGTGAACAGCTGGATGTTCTGCTACTGCACTCCTAGTTTCTGCAAGGTTGCAGGGTGTTCTGTAAAATCAGTCATTTTATGGCTAAGTTGAAAATGAGAAAGAATCTGTAGCATGATTGCTTACTGGCTGAGAATAGATAGTGTTATCTGGCTGTATCACAGTTGTTTGACTGGTTTTGCTCCCTTTCTTCTCTGCCTGGGACCTAGACACGTAGGGCTGAGCTCTCACACAGGTTGTTGCAGGGTCTTGTTATTTTGGTCCTTTGTCATCCCAGATTAGTGGACTATGAAATCTCTTCCCAAAACTGATTTGAGCGTGATCTTGACTTAAATGTTTCTTTTGTGTTCAACTGATGCTTTTATTTTCAGAATTGATAAATGTTGAATATCACTTGGAAGGGAAGTAATTCAACTCTCTCTGTGGGAAATATTTCACTGTTGAAACTTAATTTGTAGCTTGGATATTTGAGAAAATATAGTTTAGATACTTGATTGATGCATTAAAAATATTATATTAGCAATGCGATCAATTATGCATTATCTCCATATGTTCCTTCCTTTCAGTCTATCATCAATTCAAGTTATTTAATTCAATTTCAGAAGACCATTTTCATTGTGATTGCTGAACTGCGGTCCTGCCGTACAATGGAGGCTGTTCTTGAATGTATCTATAAAAAAAATAATGGCAGGAGACAGGTCACCTGAAGGACAGGCTTTGCTAAACTTAAAAAACATGGAGACTGGTCAATGATATGTTCAAGAATAGCAAGAGTGATTTTTAACGAAAAGGTTGCATCTGCCCATATTTTGCAGTATTTGTCTTCCACTCTGATTCTGGTCGTGTCTTTTATTGCTTTGGCTCCTTTCCAAAAGCTTTCTCACTGCCAAAAGCTTAAAGATAAGACACAAGATTTCTCATTATATTTATAAAATGGCTGGCTCGGGTTACTCTGAACTCCCTCAAAAATGTCATGCGCACAGTTCATTGAGATTTGAGAGAGTCATTCCGTTGATTCAAACATGCAGTGAATTAGGTCTTTAGTCTGATGCTCTTTACCTAACAACCAATGAGCTCAAAAGAGAAACCGGTGTAGAGGCTCATCCTCTCACACGTTATCACAGCACCAATTGTTGCTGGTCATTTTACTCTTGAAACCTATATCCCTAGCATCAGAACGTGATTCTGAAATTCATAATAAAATTTGGCAGTTCTGAGACCTTTGACTTGGAATTGCTTGTGTGCCTCTTCCTCCCAGTGTCTTTGTTCCTGTTTAACCAACTTGAAACAGTCTGCAGAGATCCATTCAGTGCGGAGCCATTGATTCTCTTTGATGTAGCAACCTCTGTCGCTGAGCCAGTTGATGACTTTTTTGCTCTGTTGCTTCCTCAAAAGCATTATGTAATAATCCCACGCAGCTTTACAAAATAGATATCGTAGTCCCTTACTCTGAACATGGCGCTTTTGATTTATGTTATATTTTAAGTTACTGCTGAAATAAAAGAGAGTTCAGGGATAAGACTGGGGTGAAGCTCCCTGTCTTCCCATCAGAGGCCTGAATGGACCTGCAGAAGACATGCTCATGGAACTGTTTTTCCCACCTCTATAGTTACATACTGAAAGAGAAAAGTAGATGAAGGATCAGTTATCTCAGCCAGAAGACTTTAAATGCAGAACTACTGATTCCACAGTATGGCCTTAGTTTTGACTAGAGAGACTATTCGGATGGAGAGGAGTTTGTTACTCATGGGAAGAGGGTAGAGAAGATTTTCTCAACCCTAATACAGCTGTTACACCCAAAGAAAAAAGAAAACATACAGTGACGTTACTCCATTTTGAGAAACCTCTCCTTGCAGATAGTCCTTAGGCCCTCATGATTCACTGCTGAAGTGCTGCTTTAACTATTTTCAGGTGTGGAACTGGTGTAGCTTGAAAAGCAGAGTTACAGTTGCTTTTTTGAAAGTCTTTGTTTTTTTTTCTCACAAAGCAAGTCTTGACGCAAGAAAGACTATCACCTTTATTTCTGTTAGTCTGTATTATTAAATATTTGACTGTGGAAATGTGTGTGCTGACTGGCATAGCCGAGACGCATAATAAATCAATCTTCTCTTCTAAAGAAGACACCAGCTGAAGAGGTACCTGATAAATCTGCCCTGATACAAGATGCAAACAAAGATGATAAACAAGGTATTTAAGTAAATACCATTGGTTTTTTTTCTATTAAGAGTTAAGTTCTGTGTGTTAATTAGTAATCCGTGTGTTTGCCTACAGGATCAGTGGTATCTTTAATTTCTGAGCTGGCCATGTGTTGCTATAGATCTGAAGAGGTAACTCATGGACAGCAACTGAGTTGTAGAGAAATATCTGAATAATACAAAATACACCTTCTAAAGTGTATCCGGTCCTAAGACAACTAATGTTGCATTTCAGACTTTACCCACATGTGTTTTCTTTGGTAAATAAAAGAGAGACGAGACGAGAGATTTCATTCCAAGCAGTAATTTACAACATAGTGTATTATACTGCATTAAAATATGCTACAGTGCATTAAGAATGTCTTGGTATAATAGTTATTAATAAAGGATGCATAGACATTAATGGGAGGGAAATAAGCACAAAGAATTGGGATTTTCTAAATTTTAAGTTTGGATCTGTCAGTGCCATATGAACGTTCCCTGGGGCAAGTTGCTTCGGCTTCGGTTGCCAAAAGCAGTCAGTCGCTTGTGCGCGCTCAGTTCCTGGGTTTATAATTTCAGACAGATGAGTCTAGCTCTCCCAGTTGCTACCGGCTGCATGTTCCATTGCTCCCTTTGTGAAGGCTCTGTGTCTTTGAAACATGAGGCCTTGGTTTTAGACACCCCAAAATTCTGAAGATTTGGGATTATTTGGCAACTTGGGCGTAGGCTTTCCCATTCCTGACTTTTGCACTTTTAAAAATAGAGTTGCTTTTTGGGGTGTTGGGGTGTTCTGAGGATATTTGGTTACCGTTGGTTGCTTTTTTGGGTATGTATGGTGTTATTGGAAGTTCTAATTGGTGTTGTTTTAGATATTCCTTTCTCAGAGCTGATTTTACCTAGACATATTTAAAGTAACTTTCATTGTTGTGTTTTTTTCATAAAGTTCTTAAAACAAGCATTGCTATCAAACCAATACCAAAGGAATTTCAGCACTTGACTGTGAAAACAGGTAAGAAGAAAAAAATTAATGTGACACTTCCATTAGAATTTCAGTCAAATACTTTGATATCACAGTGAACCTAAATTAGCGTAACCTGACTTTTCAAGATCCTTTTGCTCTAGTAATATTTTACTGCTGAAATTATCTTTTACCTCGTAATGACTGCTACTTGCAAAGCTGGGCTTAATTAGTACTTAAAGTTGTCAAAAGGTACTCTTGCTGTCTTTCCCTTATTTTTAGCAGCTGTGATGTTCTTCCTGTGTGGAAATTATATTAACATAGCATTTTTTAAGTAGTCCGGATTTTATTTTTTTGTACTATAAATGAGATTTGAGAATGAGAATATTGTATCTGTTGATTAAAAAGCTCTTCTCACATATAAAATAAATTATTTAGTGTTTCAGTAATCATTCTAAAATGGTCTATTTCTTTGTTAGGAGCTGGGCTTTCATATTTTCCATTAGGGGATCAAGGGTAAACAGCCTTTTGGAGAACAGACCTTGTGGCACTGACACAAGCTTTTTATTCAGAGGTGTTTCTCTTGTGAAACCACCCCTGATTTTTCCTCTCTGCAACTCGAACCTACCCTCTTTGTTCCTATCATACCAGAAACATGTATTTCTGGAATGGCATATCTAAAAGGTATTTAGCTGCTCCAGAAACTTCCCATCTGTTCAAATCAATTTCCAGAACTCCCTGGCCATCCTCTTTTTTAATCTCATTCCTAGAGTGGTAGGAGTGTTTGCAGTCTCTTCATCCCAGAGAATATAACATCTGAACTTGTTTTCTTTTCCCTTTTTATAAATGTCTTTAGTCATGCACATATCCTGGATCAAGAAAACTGACCCGAGTGTCTGTCCTAGCAGTTTTGTCATAGCTCAATTTATTCATGGCTGCTCAGCAGCTGCTTGCCTCATTTCTCAACTCTTTTGTTTCCTGGCTTCTTCCCAAACGCTTGGCAGTTGCCAGACTTCCTATCTTCATCTCTTACTCTTGAGTGATCGCTGCTTCTCCTTCACACATACGTCCCTCTAAAGGGGAGAGTTGGTGACAGGATTTCAGTTCTCTTCTCCTCCCCGGTTTTGTCCAGGAACTCCATTGGAAGGGAGTTTTATTTTCAGTTCAGCAATTCCATCTTTGGTACGCTTAGGAAAAAACTGTTGTTGCCCGCATATCTCCTTTGCCGCTGTCATTTTCCTCCCTTATCCTTCATCTCCTAATCAGGGAGTCTTCTGGGCGTTACTGTGCTCCTTTAACAGTGTTGCCATGTTTGTATGCCAAGGAAGAGGGTGGCACAGTTTTGCCCTGTTGTGCTGATGGTTGTCACTTGAGGAACTTCACCCTTGCTCTCCTGGGCATTAAGGATTTGAGCAGGCACACTCTCAGGTTGCATGGCAAGATTCATATTCAAAGTCAAAACGTCTGTCTATCTAGCATGCTAGCTACAACACAATAATTGAGTGATTCTTTCAAAACTGATCCTCGTTCTGAAAGGTCGTTGTAATCATTGACCTTCAGGATGCAAATTCATTTGGAACGAAGCAGGAGAAAAATTTTGTTTTGGTTATTGATTCAAGCTATTTATTAAATTTGGGATACTGCTGTAGTTCTTTTCAGGAAAGTTTCCTTTGTCATCAGGAGAACTAGCAATTGAAAGCCAGTAAAAACTCTATATACTCAAAAAAAACCCCAACTTCATATGTTAGAAAGTCTGGCCATTTTATGGAGGTTCCTAAAGATCATTGTTGGCCTTAGATTATTCAAGCATTAAGGGCCAATACTGTGAACGTTTAAATTCTACATTTCTGCCTAGGTCATCCGTAAGAGATGAGAGTTGAGTCAGTGCACATGTCATTTAAACTAGTGGGAATTTTTCTCCTTAGCACTGTAGCCTGCCTGCACCATTCATAGTACAGCTTTCCAGCCAGCCTTCAGCCTTGAAAGCAGGTAGGCGCCAGTCGAGCATAACCCATTGGGCTACAGCCAAAAGTTATTCATTCTGCTTCTTCAGGAAGGTTAGAAAGAAGTTGTATTAACTGGGGGGTGGAGGGGCTGGGGAGGTGTTGGGAGTGGTTAAACACCCGAAACGGGAACCTTTGCGCTCTCTTGTGATATGAATGATTGGATAAGAGTTCATCACCGTATATGAATGTAATTAGTCCAGACTAGGGTGTTAAGTTCATCTGGCCATACTACTTCAGAAACCACGTAAACTTCTAAATAATAAATGCAATTAATTTACTCAGCAGCTTTAATCTCTTTTATCAGTTTCATGCAAGCTTGGCTTACATATACATAGTAATAGGAATATGGAAAACTCGTGAGCTGGGTAAATAGTTTTGTATCATTGTGATTATATTGTGTATGAGTATAAACCTGCACCTCACACATAAAGTATGCACAAACTGAGCATAGCAAAATATCTGCACACTTTAGAAAAAAGTTGCAACAGTAGTTATTTGCATGTCTGAATAATGAACTACTTGTTTTATTGTACTTTTGTATCATATTACTTTATTTTATGAAAGGTTCATACTAGGGCTAAGTCTGTGTGTTGTGGAATTGTAGCCTTGAATTTCCTGACTTTTCAGCAGCTGAAAAGAAAACCTTTGGCAGTAGTATTATATTGCTATCATTTTTTATTACTACTCATTTCAGGATTCTCTCTTCCTTTTGTGTTTTCCTGTTTACCTCAACCAGATGTCCTCAGAGAGTTATAACGTCAGTTTTATTTGTAGTTTTGTGAGGTGTTCTAAAGGAAGCATGAACAGAATTACTGTCTCTGTAGAAGAAAGAAAATTTGAAGTTTCTTACACATAGCTTAGCTTGGAGAGGATTATACTTCCTATTTCTAGATGGCATATATTTAATAATTGTGCAGGTAATTTAATAATCAGCAATTTCAGCATTGGAAAAATTGGGTCATATGGCTGTAGGGAAGCAGTTTCTAAAGTTGTATTCTCTGGGAGTTTGACACAGAAAGAGGAGGATTATCACCCCTACATATTTTAATAATAATTCCCTCTCCTCCTCTTTAGTGCTAGTAAGACTTTGTTATACAGAAATTTGGAATGACTGAGAGTCAGTATGTTGATGACACTCATCTACTAGAAATTGATTTTTAAGTGTTTTTTTGTACCTTTGCCAGTTATGTTTGGGTTTATTCCATCCAGAGCACCAACTAGCACTGTGCGGCCCTAAAAGCAGCTTCTTTTGTCAAGAAGTAGCGTGTAGCTATGCATATGGTGCATGCTGTCATTTTCTGTGCAGCTGAAGGCTTCCCTGTAGGGTCCATGCAGTGATACAACGCAAGCCATTAGCAAGTCAGTATTTGCCAACTACTACCACAGGTAGCTCCTGCTCTGCATTTTGAAGAACCCTTTGGTAATCTCAGGTAGTGCTCTATAGTAGCTCAGGATAAATGTCTGACTTGGAAGTAGGCATACCTCTGAGGGAAGCTAGAAATTTCCACTGAGAAACTTTTTTATTCCCGGCCTACTGTCTTCTCTGTAGTATTGTACCCTGACTAAGAGAGTAATGGGAAAAGTGCAAGGATTCACCTTGTCTATGCATTGGGATCATTTATGCTGCTGTAATAGCTTGAGGATATGCGTTTTGGTGAGCAGAATTTTAAAGCAATCAAACAGATATATGTTATCAATATTATTTTATGTTAGTAAGGAGAGTAACAGAAAAGGTACGAAAAGACTGTATAAACCAGGGAACAGCCCAGAGGAGATAATTCAGCAGTGTTGTTTTCCTATCACATAAAACCTAGATGTGGCATGGTATTCAGGATTCATCTAGATAAAAGAAGCAGATTTTTCCATTGATAGACCTTTTTTTGATCAACGCAGCCCGTAAAACTTTCTACCTTAGGATGTCATTCCACCCCAATGTCAAATTAGTCTCAATCAGATGTGCAAAAGAATTACACGTGTAAGAACGTGTATATTTGTGATAACTAGTTGAAGTATTTAGGAAGGATATAAATCGTCATGCTTTGGGTTGCAGGACCGCTACTAGATATCTAGACTAGGAGAGTAAGGTGTTCTCTGTGGGAAGCTTATGCTCTTCCTGTGTTGCTTGGTGGCACTGTTTCATCATAACTACATCCTGGACTGCTGGTCAGAGGTGTCAGATCTATTGCAGTTCGTGCCTTCTTGTCACCCAATTAAAAGGTGAAGTTGTGGCTACATTTGAGCTTTTAAATTCGTGGGACTTTTATACACCACAGAAACCAAGGGGAAGGAGAAGTGAAAATAATTAAATCCTCATTGCCCGTGTGGGAGCACACTCTCACATCCACGTTTGCAACACTGACATTTTTAACGATCCCTGATCCTGCAACTGAAGACACTCATTTAAAATACTATGTTTTAACAGTTCTTTATTCTTTTCTCTTTTAGTTGCTCAGGAATCTAATGCACTTAAAGCCAGACCGAGATCCAGGTACTGCTTTCATTTCTGTTTCAGAAGACATATTCCTCTGATGCTAAACACAAGGTCTAAGAATTGGTGTTGCAATTCTTATTGGTGGTGGTGTGCTGGAAATAGAGATCAGATCCAAGACAGGCTTGTCCAGAGGGATCAATAAGCTACCTACCCTTCTTAGGTACTGCCTAGGGCCCTGCAATCCCTGGTCATATGGTGCTGGGACGTTTGCCTATCTGCTCAGTCCTACTGCCTCGTCAGGGTGTTGACTCCTCCAAGCCTGCCCATCGATGTCGTGGCAGTGCAGCAGACACTACCCCTTTCTGGGAGAACATTTTCAACGGTTTCTGCTCTTGAAACCTGCGTGGTGGTCGCATATGGAGGGAGACACTGCACAGTCCCAAGGAAACGGCAGTGGTAGCTCAACTCACAGGTGTGGGTGAGTGTACGCTTTTGTTGCTGAGTGTGTACTTAATTCTGGCTTGTTGCTGTATGATGGAAGGACTTAGCGGCTTATACAGTTGTGCAATAAAAGTGACACCTGCTGAATTTGGATACTTGAAGGACAGAAAAGTGAGATCTGTATCAGAAAATACTCTGTATAAGTGGACTAAGTATTGGTTTTTGGCTGCTCACCATTCTCGTATGCCAATATCATGCATATTGCACCTTACAACTTTTTATTTGAGCCGGTCAGATGGCTTCGTTTCTTTTTCTTGGGTAATGAAAGTATAATCAGGAGCTCCTCCCTCATAAGCTTGTCAAAGTCTGCTAATAAGAGCAGATCGACTATAGCACGATGAATTAAGATGGAAATCCTCTATTCTTAGGATCTGCATTCAGGAAGGCTGAACACCCTGTGTGCTATTTTTATGATGTTATCCAAAGCTTTTACTTTTTATATTGTTTTAAATTCTTGTGCTGTGTTACTGAGTCATAAAGTGAATAAGAAATGCTTAAAGGAGTTTGAAAAAAAGTCACTTAAATGAAGTGCTTAGATGCAGAAGTTCAGACTAAAGATTCCTAAGCACGTTCTCCAGCCCAGACCTTCTAGTTAGCTTGCGCTGTATGACTTAGGGGGCTCTATAACCTTAACGCTGTACGTCTTCATCTGTGCCTGATCAACCTAGGATACAATATGAGTCGATTGCAGCTCTCGCCTCAGGACCCAGGCTTTCTAGCACAAACTGTGTGGACTATTAGGTGTGAAGGTGTAGTGTCAGCAGTGGTTCACTGTCACGGGGCTCTGTGTTAGTGCTGCTGGGCAAGGCATGTTTGTACCTGGTAGCTGCTATCTTACCCTTCCTTAAAAAGAAACACGTCAAACTGTTAAACTGTAAAATTTTAATGCAAGTAAAATATACATCACACATTATGGAAAGTCAAGGTACCAAACCAGGGTTTAGATCAGGTGTGAAATGATGTGGTTATGGAATTCAGAACCCTACTAAGACAAAAATTCAGCAGCAGCAGAGGTTATTGTGTTACATGTAAATTTTGAAGCAATTACGGCTTTCACTCCTGTAATTATTAAAGTTTACATCAGATACATAGGATGAGCTTTGCCAAATGTCTGTCCTGCTGAAGAGCTGTATTCTAACAACAGCCTACTTGGCAAAAAATGGATCCGTTTCCCATTAGTGGGAGCTATTTCTGTTCCGCTTGAATGTGTTTTTGGTCTTGCCTGTCATGCATAATATATTAGAATAAAGTGTAACACATCACATTTGCCAACGCTCATTTTGAACAAAGCTCTGGTTCTTGCAGAAAAGTGGTAACTGCAACAGCTGAAAAATACTGGACACTTCAGCAAAATCAAAGTTCTTAGCCGTTACAGTGCATTGGGATTAATGTGATATGGAATTATCTGGAACAGCCTAGAACAGTGTACTGAGACATGTATTTGACCAGTATTGGTCACTTTGTATCCATTCAGTTTTTTCTAGATTTTGTGGAATCTGGCTGCTTTCTGTGAAAAATGTATGCTGACAGAATGTGATAAATTATAAAATGCGTACTTGCAAGAAGCAGATTGAAGTTACAAGTGCATAAACACTAACCTCACGGGTAGGAAAGGCAAGCAGTAGAAACTGTAAAGGGAAAATTATATTTTTTCTCAGGATTTTTTGAAATTGAATAAATAGTTACCAATGAATTAATTACCATGAGTCAACAATTACCAGCTGCCCCATTGGCAGCTAATGTCACATGAGAAGAGCCTGAAGCTGTAGTACATTTAAAAAAATAAAAAATAAAACTCTTAGCCCTGTAAGTGTAACTCTTTCGTTTCCCTAGAGGCATAGTTCCTCAATTTGTTGCCGGGTAAGTCTATCTTGTTACGAAGGGGAACTTTTAGTCAGTGGGGCAAGCAATTTCTACCAAATACTTGAAGTATACTTGGTCAGTATATTTTTGGATATTATTCACTATATTTGTTTAAAATGAATTCCTGAAATAAGGTCTATTTCTGTTTGTTTTCTTTTCCTCCTTAGGTCTTATTCCAGCACATCCATAGAAGATGCCATGAAAAAGGGAGAAGAGCCCCCTACTCCACCTCCAAGGCCCCAGAAATCACATTCCAGAGCTTCCTCTCTGGATCTGAACAAAATATTTCAACAAAATGCACAAGGTAGAACTTACTTTCTTAGATCAATTAGATCAACGTTTAGATCTTTACTTTCCATTCTTCTGAGACCAGTTAGAGTAGTTGCATATTTGGCAATGTGATTTGTTTGCACACATGCTTGACAGTATGTGCATATGCTTGTCTTGGCTATAGACAGTAGTATGCTACAAAACTGAAGTTGCACTTTATTGCATTACATCTCCATTGAGGGGAAAAAAAAATCTCTTTGTTGCCATAATTAACGTGATTATAAATTTTTTTTAGCATGATAACGGGAAGCTAACATATGGTAGTCTGTCATCAGTTACTGTCTGTAACTAGTCTTGCTGTTTAGACAATTCTCATCAATAGCTACAATGCATTTGATTTTTATTACTATTTATTTTTTTTAAGTTCAGAATCAGGAAGAAAACCTCTAATGTTTAAACTGGGATAAGTGAAATTTGTAGCAGACAAATATTTTTCAGGTTAAATCTTCCAGATATGTGGGGGCAATTAAAACCAATCTTTGTGTAAAAAGAAAGGGTATTTTCTTTAGACGTGGGTGCATACTGAGGGGAGAGAAAAGAGCTGTAAGTGGTAGCTGGATGGAAATGAAAGAAAAACACTCTTTGGTCCTTAATATTTGAGCGTTCCTTTTGCATTGTGCAGTGAGCTGTGGAAAGAGGAGTTGTTTGTTCAGTTATAGCAGGCACCCAGCACGGATAGAAGTGCATTGTGCTTTGGCAGCGTCCTTGAACCAGGCTAGGGTTTTACATAGTACACACCAATCATCTAGGACTAGGTTAAACATGGTCATGTTTATGCTTCACAAGAAAGCCCAAGGTTTAACTGTGTCAAGGAATGTTTTAACGGGGTTCTCTAATGTGGTTGCTGGAATAGAAAAGGAAGTGTTTCACCTCTTGCTATATGAGACATTTTTTGTGTAAACACCAGACAGAATTCAGGAGTCCTGTTATGTGTGCTGAGCCCTGAAAGCCAACAGAAATAAACAATGTTTTTTTTACCTTACACAGAAAAGCAGTTCCTGATTTTTGACTGTGGTTCCTGTTTAGGAATCCAGTACCTCCAGTTTTGATTTCGGTATACTTTTTAAAAAAACGCAGCCAAATCATGTTTTCTAAAGCAGCAAATCTTCTCAGAATCCTGATTAAAAAGTATAACGGGAAGGAAGTAAACTTGGATTAAGATTTCTCTTGGAACACAAATGGAAGGAAAATGTAAATTCTCAAAGAATCTTGCTTTGAAATGGATCATCTTGAGGGTCACCATTACATTTAAAGTAACTTAATAATTTCTTCTGGACAGCATAACAAATTGAAAGAGTTGCAGAACGTGAGTGAAGGAAAGGATAGCTCATCCTATTGATACATTTTAGGGGGATTTAGTCCCTGGAAATGAGACAAATAATTACAGGCAATTGCTTGTTTGCATAAAAAGGAAGTTCTTTAGTCACCCTAAAATTGTGCATCATATTCCGTTCAAATTAATAGATAGTTATATTTGGAGCAAAAACTGGCTGGAAATGTGGTGTGCTACCAAATTGAGGAAATGTGAAAGGGCTCCCAGAGGTTCAGTCTTCTCCTTTACCCGAAGGGTCTTTGCCTGTAATTTTTTGCTCTCTTGAAAATCCTCTGGTGGCACTGCTAAGTATTCTGTATGGGTATGTTTCAGTCTCTGCTAATGGAGCTATTCTACTTTGTGTCAGAATGTAAATACTCACCATGAAAGAATAATGAGTAATTTGCAACCTTAAAGGATTTGTGGAAGAATTTGTATTTTCATAGCCTGCCCCTGAGGGTTCCGATTTGAATAAGTCTGTACCATCTTCCCTCAGAAGGAGGGAAATACATCAAACCATCCCCGAATGCCCAAGTACCATGATGCATTTACCTTGTTTTACTTTCATTAAAAAATGTCTGCCTTAGAAGGAGTGTTTTCAGTTCTTCATTCCGTGAAGAAACACGAACGTTCCCTTTCCTGTCATTAACCCCCCAATAGCTGTTATTTTCTAACATCCTATTGACCATAATTCTTTATACAGCTGCTTTCTTTTCTTTCACCTCTTGTCTTGATCGTCTCACTTCTTTCACTCTTTCTTTACTGAACTTACTTCTCAGTAGAAATTGCAGCCTCATCGTTTTGTGTATTCAGATGCCTTTGCCATCTGGAGACAGACAGTTCTTCCTCATGGAGTGGCAGTGCTTAGGAACCAAACGCTTTAATGATGTACCCTTTCTAAAGAAAGCGTTCGTGATGGAGCAGAGAAATTGCGAATTATTGTCACCTTAGACCAAAGAGTTCTGCGGAAAAGGAAGTGTGTGTGCCTATTTGTGTGAAGTAAATTGCACGTGGTTGTTTAATAACGAGCTGTATTTTATTTCTACTAACAGCATAAAAATGAAGTTAGATTGGTTTCCATCTGCCATCAGAAGGTACAACTACAGATTCACAGCACAGGTGATGCGGTTGCAATGTACTGTTTAGGTTTCTCGGGTGTTAGGAAAATATAACCTGACATAAATATCCAACGTGATGTGTTTCCACCAACAGTTTAGTTTATTACTTTCTGTCCTAATGTACTCTTGGCTATATTTTTTATATTTTATATTTTTTATGTTTTATGCTTTCTCCCTTCCCTCCTAGCTTTTTAAAAATAGTTTCATTGTTATAGCTGAGCCGCAAAAAGTAGCAGCTGGAATGACCCGTCCCTTCTAGCAGCACTGTATTGCCGAGTTTCAGTACAGAAAACTAGACTGTAGAATCAGCCATTAGAATAGCTTTCAGGCTATATCCTGTGTGATTAGAATAAACCCATTTCTGTACATTAGCTTTTGTCCTGCTAATTCTTGTTCAAAGTAATGAATTTTGTGAGCTGGGTGGATAATGTGCTCCCATACCTGCAAAGGAGCTAAGTTGTGTTAAGATTTATTTTCAGTTCCTGATTGATCGTGCTGATCTACAGATATCACTTCTTCAATTTTAAAGCCATCAGTGGTTTGGGGGTGTTTTTGTTTGTTTATTTTGATTTTAAAGGGAAGAAAAAGAAGTACTTGTATTCCTCTGCTAAATTTGGTCAACATCTATGGTAGATGCCTGTTGTGGGCACTAGCTGGTTTTTCCGTTTACTGTGTGTGTTATGTCGTGTTTACCACCTACCTTATAACCCTCGCCTTGCAAGTAAATGCAGAGAACATTTGTGCCTTTTGGCTCAAACGTCCATTAACGCACGAGCCCTGGAAACTGGCCTTTCAGTTGTTGATTTGGGACAAAACTGCACTTGCGGAGGATGCTTCATTGGTGTTCCACTGGGAATATGCACTTCTCTGGGATACTGCATCTAGTTTTACCCAGGAAAAACAAGAGAACTTACTGAAAGGCCCCACTTCTGAAATGAGCTGTAGGAACACTGAAACCCAAATCTGGGCCCTAAATATTTTTGAAACGCATGGAAAGAATTAACTTTTTCAAATCTACTGTGATTATTGAACTGCTATTAGATAGACATTTTATTAACACGCACAATACTGTTACTAATCTATAACAATATATATATGTGGATGTCTGAAAAATGAATATAACACCTTTGATTCAAGAAGCCACTCGAATTGGGGAAAACATCGTGGATGTGGTGATCTGTAGGGCTGTATTCAGTCATATACTGAGCTGTGTTTCTCAGTGGTAGCCCAGGAATAATTTCTCAGGTAAAATGGTGCGACTGAGAAAGCCTGTATGGTAGCATGGCCGTGTTTAATGTTAAACAAAACCCCAGGAGCTCAATATTGGCATTAGGGAGTAGCAGCATCAGTGAAGTGCTGTGCCTGTTGCCAGAGCTGTTTTTCTTCTCCTGAAACTGTTTGTGGTTGCCTGTGTTTTTTGCGTAGCTGTGAAGGCTGCACATATTCTCAAGCATTGCACGGGGAAGTTGCTGCAGTGGAAGTCTTGATGCAAAGTATTTTCAAAACCCCACTAGCCCCGGAAGAGTTTTTACCACAATATCAGTGTTTAAGAGTGTTAGTGAATTTAACTGGAGGAAAATCATTGCATACCAGTCCATCCTATATAGTCTTTGGCTTACCATCTGAGAGAAATTTAGTACAGCTAGATTCTCTGTGTATTTCTTTTTGTTGAATATATAATCTCTGGCATTTTGCCTAAGTACATATTAAAAAATATTTGGCTGGGTTTTATGCATTCCTGGAAAGACAATAGCAGGGTTGAAATACAAACAAAAATGCCAGTTTACATACTTATGTGAACCTGTTTACATCTTTATTTCTTCCGTAGCCTTTCTGTCTAATTAGATACAAGCTAAGAGTTTCCGAAGTAAGGCCTATGAGCCTGGGGCCTGCAAAGCTTTTCCTCCCCGTTCACAAAGGACTTACTAATTTTGGCAGTTTTTCACAGAATCAGCTGCTCACTAGGGCTACTTGTGGCCTCTTCCATCTGCCCCTGGGTCTTGGGGAGTGACCAGTTTATTAAGGGGCCAAAATTGCCTGCTGCTCAGAGCCCAGCGCTGCCTCTGGGGTCTGCCCACCGCGCAGGAGGTGTGCAGCAACGCCTCCCAGCCACCGCCTCCTCCCCATCTACCCCTTGTGGCAGCAATAAGCCGGGGTCCATCTCGGGGTGCCTCTGTCACTGGGACTGGGATGAGTCTCAGCTTTCTGAGCTGGCCTGAGAGGGAGCGGCAAGTCCCACAGGTGGACCCCAGTAACCTGGGGCTGGGAAGAGGCACAGGGGTGGGAGATATGTCCTGCATGGAGAGGTGCAGGGACTGGTGGGAAGGGGAGGCTGTACGTGCTGGGATGGGTTGGCAGAATCGGTGTTTTGCTGTATTCCGCCATGAATGCAACTTTAGTTTTTTGTGAACAAAAAATTTAGGTGGGTTCGGAGCAGAAGGGTTTGTTTGCAGGGTGAGAAGAGGGGTGGGGAGACAGTAGAGCAGTGTGTGATCATCTAGGGCAGCCCTCACGTTTTCAAGACTCTTTGATGTTGTTACCTGG